AGATAATCATCAGTTTTTAACATTAGGTCTACTATCCCATAATTCGGAATGTGCCTCTATATTATAGATGTAATGAGTACTAGGGGCGTGGAAGAGATCAGCTAAAGAAAATTCGCCATTCAAATACTCTTTTCCCTCCAAAATCTTTTCATAAACATCTAAAACCTTAGCAAGTTCTTCACGAGCTTGCTTAATAACTTCTTGGTCCGGGTCCTTATTATGGAATTTTTTAGCGGCTATTTCTTGCTGTACGAGTTTGAAGATCGGTGGGTTATAATAAAATGATTCATAAGAAATGCATTGCGAGACTAATCCGGCTTTATGAACATCGGTAGGAATCAAGATTGTATCATTATGTTTGCCTTGGTATTTAGATGCTAGGTAATTACAAATTGCGCGAGATTCGTTAATTGTAAAATCGCCGTCAATAAGGACTGGGATTTTTCCACTGTTATTATAACTTGTTAGTAATCTAATTTACTATATACATCTAGGTTGTGTAATAGATAATACTTACAATGGGTGTTTATTAGCGAGATAATCATCAGTTTTTATAGCTTGAAGATTGGCTGGAACTTCGAATTCGTAAGGAAGTCCTAATTCCTTAAGGGTCATAGTAACCCTAAGAATATTACCTGAGACGGGAAATCCAATGAGCTTGATAGTCATTTTTTTAATACCAAAGATTATTTAAGGATGAGAAAGGAGAAATGGACGTGTATTTAAGCATTTTGTGAATTCACTTTAAAACAAAGTTTTGGCGCTTAATGTTTCTAAATTTTTCTATTCGGTTAGTAATTAATCTGTACGTACATACGTCATGGAAAGTTAATTATTAATCAGCTTAATCAACCTGTCCGAAAATTAGCCAATAGTAGCAACCGATGCATTCATTGTTAGTACAGTAAATGCATATTCATGGGCGATAAACAATTTGATCGTAACCCACTTTATTACGTGCCGGATAAATTTTCACTGATCAACATCGAATTGACCAATTAGATTACAAGATCAAGTGTAACGTAACGCAAAATTTTAGGTCTCGCTCTAATTGTAAACCTGTAGTGTTTTATGACTTTAAAAAATTGCGCATATTCGTTGTTTTGATTGTCGGTGTCACTGGGGTAGTTTAAAATGTTATGTAATTACAGCTGTTTTCATAATTTCTGAGAATGATTTTTCGGCGTTCCTGATTATATATTTCAAATTCAATGAAATTACAAAATTATACACATAACTTTTAACTGATTATTGCCAAAATAAGCTACCTTTTTTGGCCGAAAATTACACAAAAATTTTACGAGTAGCTTATTTTCGAAACGGTTTTTGGATCTGTAGAACAAGTATCATATGTCTTTTATATGTAGATTTGTGTAATTTTTACGTGTAAGATTCTGACATGTAAATTTTGTACTGTATAGTTCCGAAAATAAGCTACATACAAAAATAAGTTACCCCTACTTTAACTAAAAATTCGTTAACAGTTACTACATATAAAGTTAAAATTTTACTAAATAAACTGCCATTGAGCTCTTAAGTAACGTTGTTTAGAACATCAAAATATGTATGTAACGTAACGTTTATTACGCAATTTATTTTTATTAGGTCTCCTTGGTGATCGAATTAGCAGTCATAATTTTTTTTATGTATAATATTACTGCTCCCCTCTAAAATTACGTAATGAACGGAGCTCTCCTAACCGGATCTGTCAGAAAACCATTCGGCCAATTTTTGAGTGTTTCAGAATTATGAAAACAGCTGTAATAGTAAACCAGCTTTTTTTATTCTATCTTTCCTTATTATTTGAGAAAAGAGAATTGGCCTAGTTATGACCTTTTCTTCACTTTTACTCATTGCTACGTATAACATTTGCTTAATCACTAATGCTAATATGCCTAACACTAACACTAATATGCCTAACGCTAACACTAATATGGGAAAACACAATTAAGCAATTTGTTAATTAGGTTAATTAACCTTAAACGTTAATTAACCTTAAACTAATTAGTCACCCTGTGTAAACTTAGATCCCAGTACCTAGTCTGGATCCCATAGGAAGAATGATTAGCTGGTTAAGTCTATTTAATTTTACTGTTATATAATTTAAAGTAATCTAAAAAAAACTACGAAGAGTAAACAAGAAAGAAATATATAAAAAGTTTTATTATAGTTGTAGGACTTCACTATTAAAAATAATCAAATCAAAATCATTTTTGGTTCTATATAATAGTGACTTTTTAAAGATAAATACGTAGAACTAAGTTATTGATATGCTAACATCTCCCCTATGAAAAAGGTTAATCTATGTTTTCTATTCCATGTTTTTTATTCATAAATGTTGTACCATCAAATGACGAAATTATTCGTACAAATTAGGTTGCAGATTCACGGAATTTTTACAGAAAATAAGGAGAGGATCTCTTACAGGCACCCAGAAAATGTGTACCAGGTTGGGTCCGGACGATCGACCTGAAATTGATCGGATCGGAAATTCAATAGTTTATTGAACGCACGTACGTACGTACGTACCTATGAATGACGTTGAAATTATCATTATTATTAATCAATTTAATTATGTATTGTTATTATTGAGATGATAAATAAATTTTTACCTTCTCTTTTTTAAATCCAAAAATAAGAATTTACAAGTAAAGATGCAAAATTCTTTGCAGACACGTATATAATATTATGAACAATGTTCTAAAGAATTTAAAGACATTAATAAATTATGTAATACAGGGCCAAATTAATTCATCAAATTTACCTACGCCACTTTGGCAAATACTTCCATCAAATTACCTATATCAAATTGAAAACTATAGTGAATTGAACCCAAAATTACTTCTGAAAATGTAATAATTGAACAAATCATCATTGATTTATTCACAAATATTGATACTAAAGATGGTGTTTTAAAGTGGGTAGAAAAGTTTCAACAAAAATCAAAAACTACTATGCATCTAACTCAAACTTACCCTGTTAAAGGAAACAAAGTCATTTTTAGAAAGATGCGGCACTGTATTCACAGTCATTTAGTAAGGCAAAAAAAATAAAAACTGTGGTATTAAAAACCCATATAGTTTGCAAAATAGAAATACAGAATGCAATGCAACACTTAATCTTCGATTAAAAAATAACAATTTGCTCAAAATTAATCTTCATTTTATATACAATCACCTACTTAATTCAGCGGTTTCTTTAAGCTTTTGACCAGTAGAACATGGGGTTCAAAACAGATATACTGAATTATTTAATATGGGGTATTTGGCAGCCAGTATATGTTATGTCTATGAAGATAAGTTGCATTTATCTGTTTTTGATCATAATGAACTTGCACAATTGTTGGCAGATAAATCAAAAATCTGGTTAATAAATTTTTAAATATCTTTATAGTAAGTTTTATATGACTTAATTGGGTGATCAAAATGGCAAAGAAATATTTGAGTGATTGCAAGAGGTTGTTACTTTTTATAATAATTCCAGTAAAGAAAAAGCTGCACTTCAAATATATAATTCAACCACACAAAGTTCTTTTATTTTATGTATTGTGATGAATTTGATGATAAGAATTCATGAAAAAATTCATCAAGCTGGTGAATTATGCTATTTTGATGTATCTGCTTCTTTCAACCCACTAAATACATCAATTTCATTTCTTTATACAAATTGTGTTACCGGTATGCTACTATTAGGATTATTTTTAACTTCAGATAAGGTTGAAATTACTATTAAAAATGTGATTAATTTATTAAAAACAATACTGCCAAATCATACATTTAATGGATATAGTTTACAACTTAGACTAACCATTATTATAACTGATAATTCATATGCAGAGCATAATGCTATTTCACTCTGCTAGCCTAATTGTATTAAACTGTTATGTATTTTTCATATCTTACAGGCACTTTGGCGATGGTATATAATTCCAAATATAAAATTCACAAAAATGATAGATCACCAATTATATTATTATTTAAAAAAGTTTTATACTTACCTACAATCTCTGAAACAGAGCTTAATTTTTTTAATTTAAAAGAACAATATTTTACAAAATATTCACAACTTGCTACATATCTTACATGCCTTTGAAATCGATAAGCAGCTTGGGCACTATTATATCAACAGTATTTACTACTTTGCAAAAATCATACCAATAATTATGTTGAACAGAGCTTTGATATCATCAAGGATATTGTCTTTGCTTGAACTCAGGCATACAATATCATACAAATCTTTCAATTTATTATGAAAAATATAAAATGTTTTTATGAACAAAGATTAATAGCTATTGCAAACCATTATCCTGGCCATCTTGAACTATAAAAATAATTTCTTAATCCTGGATAGCAGCAGATTAATCAACAAAAAATATATTTTGATAATTCAAGCAATACATATGTTGTATCTAGTACAAATATGAATGAATTGTATATTGTTGATCTATCAGTTGAAATATATACATGTTTTGCAGTACTTGGCAGAACTCCTTGTAAACACCAGGCTGTGGTCGCAATTAAATATTAAGCAGGATCTTTTAACTTTATACCTGCTCTTTTACTTGAGGATTGTGCAATTTATAAATATATTGCATGTAATAAGTTTTAAAACAATTATATTTAAAAATATATAATACATATAATAATACTAATTATTAATATACTAAAAGGTATAGTCGCAGAATATTCAGCATTTTATGCACCACTATGGGCTTTTTCTGGTAAACAAAATAGTGAAATAACAAACAAACAAGACATTGACACAACAAGTTATCAAGGTATTAAAACCTTTGTAGAACATATTGATGCCAGGTAATAATTTAAATTTTAATGCTATAAATTTTATAGACAATTACTATATAATTTGTAAAATTTAAATCATTGACACAATAGCAAAGATGATATGAGCGCATGTATTCTGTTAGTTGAAAGCTTTTTTAAACGTATTTTAAATAATATTAAAAATAATGGTCAGATCTTTGCTGGCATCGAGAATTTTAAAAAAGAGTATGAAAAATCAGAATCTATATCAATAAGCAAATTATCATCTTATTTCTTTCAACAAAATTTAACATCGCAAGCTGAAGCTATTCGAAGTAGAAGAAAAATTAAGGTTTAGCCTGCATCAGTACAGAGAAGAAAACTTCATACAAAGAAAGAAAAATGTTGATCTGACTGAAATGAAAATGTGTAAAAAGAGGTCAACTACCAAAAGGGCACATAATTTATCTAGGAATATTTTAAAGAATGAACAAAATTAGAAAACAAATTGTTTTTTATTAGCCATATTTATTAGCCGAAGACATTAAAAACAATATATTCTGTATTAGTTGTATGCATTAGATAGAAAAAATAAAAAATACTTTGAAAAAAATACTATCGAAAATAAAAAAATTGTTTCAAAAAAAAACTTCAAAAAAATAAATTGTCTCGAAAAAAACGTCTTCAAAAAAATAATGTGATGATCCAAATTAATTTCTGAACTATCATCTGACCTGCTATCCGGACCCAACCTGGTACACATTTTCATTTCAGTCAGATCAACATTTTT